TTTTTGAAATTCAGTTTTGAGTTTGAATTTCAAGTACTTTCAAGACCTTATATTTTTTGTGCTAATTTTTCAAAGTTACTTAGTATATTTTTTGATTTAATTGACACTTTTCGAACTGTTTGTTGCTCTTTTTTGCTGGTTGTTGTTGTTCTTTTAAGATGACTTGTAAGATCTTTGAGCAAATGATCATTAGCAACTGCTAAGATAACTGCTTTTCCAAATTTAACCGGTAATTTTAATCTTATGTAATGTCAAAAAAACGACAGAAAATAGTTTTGGAATTTGATAGTGATATTCGTCAACGAATCAAGGTTTTGTGGCTCAGAAAGTTCCTCAAATGTAACAATTTGCAAGGTGAGCTCTTGCAAGTAAGTCCTAGTTTAGCTAATTTAAGAATTTTATCATCAGGATAGACTTCTGGTTAGCTAAAACGGGGTTCAAGAATTTAGACGACAAGAAATTAGGCGACCAGAAAATAATGGAACATAGACAATAACTTGCGCGCAAATTGCGTAAAATTTGTTTTCAGACTTAAATTATTTTTTGGCTGAGTAAATATTGGTTGTCCAGTTTAGAAATAAATTGCGTGCAAATTGCGTGAAATTTGTTTGCAGATTTTAATTATTTTTTGGCCGAGTAAATACTGGTTGTACAATTTAGACAATAACTTGCGTGCAAATTTCGTGAAATTTGTTTACCGACTTCAATTAATTCTTGGTTGAATCAATACTAGTAAATTCAGTTTCTTTTAACGGTCGAATAAGGTGCTTGCTGTCTTATTTCCTAGGCCCCAACTAAAACAGTCGGTTGGAAAATAATCAATGAACGCAAGCGCCTCTGTAAATGATTGGCACAGATTTCGTATTACTACAGATTTCGTCTTATTCATTTAATTAACAGATTTCGTCCCATATCCAACATCCTATCATCCCATATCCAAACTTGTGGGACGAAATTTGTGTTCGCTTTAAATGCAACAAAATCAGTTGAAATTAAAATGGGAAGAGATCTGTCATGGGACGAAATTTATCACAGCTGTAACTATTGGGAAACAATTAAATTTAAGTAAACAAAAATACTGACTTTTTTCAAACAAAAAATCTCAGCTTTCGATTTGCCAAGAAAAATGATAGCCTTGAAGCACTATGATTTTCAAGAGCATTTGATGATTGACATTTTTTTGATAAAATTAACCCAATTTGAGAAAACTGGATCATTAGGCAAGTTTTTTGCTCCGCTGGTAAATCTAAATGTTAAATTCCATTTTCGAAAAAAGAAACCAATCACGTTTTTTGTCACCTTTACTTTTTTGCTGGTCGATGATGGAGTTTTTTTGTCGATGTCAAAGTTCTGGTCGATGCCAAAATTTTTTTTCAAAGTATCAAATCTGGTAAACTTAAACTTAAAAATTTCAAAAAAAGTCAATTTTAAATCACTGATTTCTTGACACTTCATTTTCATAGCGCACAGTTTCATGAAATTTTTCGGCTCTTGAACGTTTTTAATGTTTTACATGTTTTTTTTGTTATTTTTTTAAAGACTGAGACAGCTAATTTGAATACGTTTTTGATGCCACTGTTTTCTTTCTGATTCAAGTTTTGTTTGATTTCAATTTTGTGCAGACCTAATTTGAAAATCAATCTTTCGAATATTGGCCATACTAGGTTTCATGCGGCGGAAAACTAATAACAGAATACTTTTGGTAATTTTCAAACCGGCGTTTAAGTTAACACAATTGAAGGAAATTTTTACTGCAATTCCAAATAAAAAGGTCGAGATTTGGCAAAAATGAACACAACACATGTTTTTAAACCATAGTTAAAATAGATCATGGGGAACCGAGTGATCTTTTCTACAGGTCATAACTAACCATGTAATTGAATGGACCGAAAATCAGATAATTGAGTAAAATGAAAGCTACAAGCGTAGTGTCTTTTTATATCTGGATACCAGGCAACAAATTATCACCCTGAAAATCTTAAAATATTCTTGAAAACCGAACCAATTACAGAAAAATTGGTCAATGGATTTTTAACTCAAAACTAACTCCTTCAAATTCCTATGTAATTTCCATTTTTGTAAGCACGTAAAAAAAAGAGTTTTTTTGTATCAAATGACTTTGTATTGAAGTTGAAAAAAATTCAAAATCGAACAGCCAAAAGTCATTTTTGCCACAAATCAGAATCTTTATTTTTTTTTAATTAAAAAATTTAAAAATTTTACCTGAACAAAAAGTCAAATCAGTCTTTGAAAAATTTCCACTATTTTCATGGACAATTATTGAAAACAATTTTCAGCAAGCAGTAGCTAAACTAACACAACTTGGGGGGAACTCGTTAAGGCAAAAATCATCCAAGTTGCTTGTCCAATAAAAGCTATAAGGTCACCCACCGTTTGAATACTCATACCAAACTTCTATTATACTTTTTCAACGCCTCGGCAAAAAATTACTCTGTCAGTACATGGTAGGCCGGATACTTGGGGCCGAAAAAAACATAGCCAACACAAAACAGGAGAAAGGCCGATGCGACTAAAGGAGACCGAAAAAACGATTTTCTGAAAGATATTTTTCTATAGTAGAAACAAAATTATCAAGCCACAGAACTTTTGAATACAAAACCTTTTTTTGATTGAATTTTTATAGGACTAAGCGAATTAGACAAAACTGGTCAACAGCTAGCATATTTGTTTCGCTATTATTTCTGGAAATTGAAGTCTTTACTAAAAGTAAAAATCATTAGTTTTTTCCGCACCATTTGACTCCTTTACTTTTTTAGAAGGCTTAATTTTTCAGTTTGAACTTAACAAAACACCGCCGGCAAGCAGTTTGAAAAACGTCAGCAAACGTAAGGAAACAGATAAAGTTAAGCTGATTTTCTGAAATAATTTTTGATTTTTCGAAGAAAAAATATGTGGCTTTGAAATTTTTCAATTTTCAAAACAATTTATGATTGACATTTTTTATATGATTTCAACCTAATTTGAAAAACAACTGGATATAAAGCTAAAGATGTTGCTCCGCTAAAATATCTGAAATTTAAAACTTTTATACTTTCGCTGTTCGATAGTGGAACTTGACTTCTTCCAAACACAAAAGAAATGAATTGAAAAAGAAATCAAAAATAGCCACGGAAACAAAATCGTAACTATCCCGAACAACGGTTAATACTTTTTAAAAAATTAAAGAATCATCACGACCTATATAAGAAACTGAACAACGTTTATCGAAGTTTAAAACATAACCTTGATATAGTAATGCCTGTGCCATGGAAGTCCTTGCCAATGGACCCCACCGGACCTACTGTTTGCAAGTGAGAGTTGTACTCATTCTGTAGTGATTTAATTTCAACAGCAAGCCACAAAAATCATTGGATCACGAAGTGTATAAAAATTGTTCATACGTCAATTTGCCTGCAAAAAGACATTGTGTGAATTTGTTATTTCGTTTGCTGACACGTTTTATAGCAATTTTTAACACCAAACGCCACTGTCAATAGCCTTTTTTACACTGAATTCTAGAAAAAAGAAGAACTGGAAAAAAGTTAAGCAATCTTTCAAAAAAAACAACGACAGGTAAAAAGCATGTATAAAACTTGATTTCAAAAACCTATGATCATGATAAAATGAAGCCCCGCTAAACTCACGTAGGAGCAACTCGATTCAAAAAGACAAAGACGATCCCAAGTACGAAAATAGTATTTCCCCATAGTATCAAATAAAGTTATTCTGCTAAGGAAATTGCAAAATTTGAATGAACTGATTTGTTTGAAAATTTCTTTGCTTTTGTAGAAAAAGTTATCAATTTTACAGACGCAAAGCTGCAATTCGCAAACACAAGCAAAAGTAAAGCTATGAAATAATGTTTAAAAAAAATAATTAATTTAAGCCATGAATTAAGTAGTTTTTGCTGTGGCAGATTCCAGCCTCTGCTTTAGATTTGGAGTCGAACGTTCGCGCATCGGCGCCACGGGCCTCTGAAAATTTCCCAACTTTTGCCATCAAAAAAGCAGTTTCAGATGCTTGTAAATTGCCAATGCTGTGCAATAAAAATAGAGGGCTATTCTCATTATGGAAAGACTGAATGATGAAACCTTTTGAACCAATCAAAATTAGTAGACGTTCATATTCGCTGAAATGTTTTTGCAGTAAAACGAGGTTAAAATTAGCAAAAATGAAATGCACATTTCGCGCGGATACAATAAATTTGCTGTTTTGGTTTTCAATTTCTTTAAACCAGCATCTGTGAAAAACTTTCAAATATATTCGATCCGGCAATGTTTGAAAACTCTTACATCTGCAAACTGCTAACTTTATAAACGGTCAGTCTCAAACTCAATGGCCTAGATTTATTTGATAACTTTGAGATATTCGCGACTTTTTGAATACTTTTTCTGATTGGCTGCAAATAGCTGAAATTAAGTTCCAGCATTCGGTCCCTCCATCATGAGGGATTCCACCGCAAAAAAGCCACCAAATATAAACTAAAGGCAACCACACTAATTTTGCACGCAAAAAATTACAAACCATTAAGGCACAGTGTATAAAACATGCATTTAAAAAAACTCTAACAAAATATATTGAGTTGGAAAGATTCTGAGAAGTTATTTATTTAAATTGTGTTTTTGTATGAAACGAATACTTTTGTGGTTCATTTTATGAATTAAAATGCATTAACTGTGTTAATTTATTACTAATCAATTGAATGTCAAAATTCATGTTTTTTAACTGCAAATTAGTCTGCGTCAAAAAAATTCACCTGAAGTAGCACTAATACTTTCGACTTAGATTGAAAAAAACGCGTTGTTATACACTTTGCTTGTGAAAATCATTGAATTATGCCAACTCCAGTGAACTCTTCTGGTCTATCAATTTGAACTGCTTTAGGTTCCTGATCTATTTTCGCCTAGATTTTTCGTTCATGGCGTGGTCGATTGATGCAATGCTAAGTTGATCGAACCACGTATACTTGGTGCTATATCCTTAATCAGAAAGATATCAAATCATAACAATTTAGATTTAATTCAATCCACAGACATAAATTAGGATGATTCAAGCTATCAATCTAACAAGCATTTCGATTCTATGAAAACTTAGAACTTGAAATAAATTAGCACGCAATTTGAGGTCATTTTTAAACAAAAAAGACGCTTTAAAAAAGGTAACAATATTAAGAATAAGTTATTTTCTTTTTGATGTAAAATATTACAAAAGATGACAAAACGGCAGCAACTTTTTGTCCATATTTTTACTGCACACGTATGGTTTACTGTTTGAAAAAAAAAACTGGATGAAATCAGTACAAAATTATTCGATAAATAGTGCGGATAAAACTAATGGTTTTAGGTTCAGGTGGTGCATTGTATGATGAGTAGCAAACAGTTAGTTCTCGAACAAACAGCGTTAATTAAAAAGAGCAATCTGCCAAACTTGCACAAATTGGGCGACCATATTCAAATTTTCAGATCTCGAGATATAAAACATGTTTGAATTAGGCATCTTAAATCTTTTATGATACAGCAATTGCTCCTTTTAATTGATTTTTGTCAGTTTCAACTTTTTGCAACTCATTACTAAGTTTCGCTCTGATTCACTTTTGTTTCTGTCTCATCACGAGTGTTATTGTTGTTGTTGGTTGCATCTTCGGCTGGTAAAACCGTTATCTTCATGCTGTCGTGTCCAAGAGTTTGCTTGCGAGGAATCGCGTCGTCTGTGTTCGTACATGAAAGATTCGTTTCATCCAGAGTCTCCAAAACGATCACTTCTTTTCTACCATCTGCGCAAACAAAATTAACATACAATGATCAGTTGTCAGGTACAAGTGTGATAGAGGGGACGAGCAAGTGACAGGGTCCCTAATGTAAATGCAGTGCTTCTAATTCTCCAATTTATTCTAATGCCTCGGTGATATCATAATTAAAGCGTGAAATAAGTTAGCGCATGAGGCAGGTTAACTACGTTGGAGAAAAACGATCGAGCGGCGTCTGCTGATTAACTTAATTGATATACTTCCTTAGAATACGCGTGATTTAGGACCCCTCTATCACACTTGTCCAAGTTGTAAGAAGAGCAGAAATAGCTATGTCACAGGGGCGAAGCTGCGCTGCGCAAATACTAGCGAGAACACGATAAAAAAACAGCCCTATAAAGTGAAAAGTAGAAAAGAGCCTCGAATCAGTGAAAATTCGGCTACGTGTCGCATTCAATCCTGTGATCTAGAAATTATGAGTCCCACACATTAACCAGTCAGCCACGGACGCTTAAAAACAACAAAAACACTGGCCACAAATAAAGCAGAGAACATGCTATGAAATTTCCAACGCTACCATCCTTCCTGATTTCCTCAATGTCCATCCTGATTTTAGCAAAAGTGCCACCAAAATAAGCTTATAGTTAGGTTGAAAAAAGTAGGTTCATACTAATACACTATGCCCGAAATCTCGCACGTGTAATGAAGATAGAAATACTGTTTTTCGAAGAGTCAGAGCGCAATTTCATAATTAAATGTATCTATGTAATAAGAAGTAAGAACTAACTTTTGTACAGATATCCCGCAACAGATACTGCCGTATATTTTTTAACAACCCCGTTTTGAACGACTGCTTTACTCAAACATTAGTTAAAAAGATCAAAAATCAAACGAAACATAGCTAACAGGCAGTTGGAAAAGAATCAATGACGCAATTGAAAAGAAAAAACTGACATTTAAAAAAAAAAATCTCAACTTTCGAACTTCAAAGAAAAAAAACTGATGCCTTTAAAACTATTGGAGTCTCTAGAACAATTGATGACTGTCATTTCTAAGATAAAATTAACCCAATTTGCGAAAACTGAATCAATGGGTAAATTTTTCATTTCACTGGGATATCTGAAAATTAAATTCCATTTTCGAAACTAGAAGTCGATCACAATTTTTGTGACCTTTACACTTGCTGTAATAGATGAAAAGTGTAATAGATCAAAAGTCAAACCGCGAAAAACTAAATTTGAGCCTGAACGGACTTTGAATATTCCTGCAAAAATATCATCGCGACCTACACTAGTGGACAAAATCAAGCGCGAATTCATTTTGGTATTGAGCAAGAGGTAATGATCAAAGCTACCCTCTGAGAAATTATCAGTATCTGGTTTCAAAGATTTACCAACATACTCCGGGTCTGAAAATGATTTCTTCATCTGCACTAAATTTTTCAAACCACGTAAAATGTCAGAAACATCCAACTATAGTAAAAGTTTCATCCTGACACATTAAATTTTCTCGTTGAAACTGTTTCACGCCTGTTCAACAACTTTTTCTACTCTACAACGTTTCGATTCAAAAAATATCGAACATGGAGAAATCTGGCATTTTCAGACCTGGAGTATATTTGTAAGTCTTTGAAACCACATACTCATAAATTTCTAGAGGGTAGTTCTGATCATTGCCTCTTGGTGTACGTACAAATTTTGCTGAAAACCGAAGTGAACTTTGTCCGCATTGGAGATTGAAAACAGGCATTTAAAAGAGTAAAAAGCTGAATTTTTGCTTAATTTTGTGCTTTAATGTGTATATAAGAGTCTGAACTACGTTCATCGACTCTTACAAAAGATACCTAGAGTAGAGAAAATTAATTTCATAAGTACCTTCAGATCGCCTCGAATCCCGAGTTAGTCCTGCTTCAATAATGTGCAACTTCTGAAATAAAATAAGAAATTATCTTATCTCGAACTAAAATAAAAAAAAGCGCAATTCCATTCTGCGTAAACCACGCGCAAATCTAAGATTTTCTCGAGAGGGGAAGTTGCAAAAAAATGTCGGCCTTTTTTGGGTCGACCAAATTAATTTTCCGAGCTCCCCAAAAACTACATTTAGCGGGGCAGGTGAGTATTTGGCTGGCTCTCCTCAAAATTAGCATACATCGGCTCTAAAAACACCTTAAGATAATTTTTAGAGCCAATCAGCGAAAAATAGATATCGCGCATTTGTACCCCCAAAGGTCTTTAACATCCCTTGTCCTCCTAAATCCACCACTGGCCTCAACTATATTGGGTCAGTTATGTTGCAATTCCGTTTTAAGATCTTGAAAGTATTGATATGCAACAAGCTGCTGCTACACTTGCATAAACAATCAATACTTCATCAATTTTCTTCAACCATTTCAAAATTATAATTTCCAGATTTATGATTTTGAAACAAAACTAACCGTGAACCATACTCGCAGACAGATGGCAATTGCCGTGATTGGACACGACAAATTAGCCAATAGGAGTAAGCCCGAAAATTCAATCGACCAATCAGAAGCCAGCAGGAAGAGCAACACTGGTTGAAGAAGCAACAAGAAGCATAAAGAGACCCATACAACTCCCACTTTGCTGAAAAACAAGAGGTGCGATATTTTTTTCGAACTAAATTTTAACTGTTTTAGAACTAAGATCTTCTCATTCAGAAATTACATGCCGAAAAAAAACTATTTTTAGTAACAACTAAAATTGAAAAAGATACGGAAAGAAACTAATATGAATTTAACCTGAATAGAATAGTTTTATAGAAAAAAGGAAGTAATTATTTAGCCATTATGTTCACATAAAAACTTAACTGTAAAAATTTTGTTTAAAAGTCGAGTATATTACGTGACTTCTGATAAAGTATAATTTTTGTAGCACCGATTCGATTGGACTCCAATGCAGGTGCCAACTCAGAGCAACTTCAATAAAAAACAAGCTAGGGAGCGATAAAACGTGGAAACTTTTCAATTTATTTCAAATTATAAATTATAGCCAATCGAAGATTGGAAAAGAGTAATGAATACAAGTAAACATCAAAAAACAATGAATTTCTTGAAAAATCTCAACTTTCGAATTAAAAAAAAAACATGCCCTGTAAGCTCTTTGAATTTCTAGAACCATTTATGTTATTATTGGCGCTTTTTTAGTAACATGAACCCAACTAGAGAAAACTGGATCAATACGTGATCTTTTTATTCCACTGGAAATCTTAAAATTAAATTCCACTTACGAAACTAAAAAATCGTTTGTTTTAGCGCCATTTCCACGTTCGTAATAAGATATTAATATTTACGTCACTTTCAGCAGACGAATTTCAATTGAACTGAAAATATGCATATGTAACTGAGTGCATTCATAAATGCATCAATATGTATGAATGCACATCTGTAGTAATTAGAAACTTCTTTAAAAAAAAACAAAAAAAATCAGCAAGATATCTATATCAGATTCATCACTACATTCATTACTCTTTAAAAAAAGTTTTCAAAACTTCAAGACAATCTGTCTCGACATTTATGAAGATTTTAACATAATTTTTGAAAATATTGAAAACCATAAAAATCATATCTCGGAAATGGAAAGGATTCGAGCAACCACAGTTGGAAACCAAACTGGCAACTTTTAAATTTTGCGAAGTTTTCAGACCTTAGTTTTGTGATAACTTTTGAAAAAATCATAAAGAGCGTCATGTTTCGGAAGCTTAAAGGACTTGAGCATTCATATTTAGAGGCAAGAATTGAAAGTACAAAAATAATCCTGACTGCACCTCACTGTAGGGTTACAAGTTTTAAACTTTGTCGTTGGTCATTCAAACCTCGAAAATGAGCCTTTTCTCAAAATTTCAAGACAATCGGTTCCGACATTTGGCTTTAACCTGAATAAAGATCTTAAGTTGAATTTTTTCCAGATTTCTGGTTTCAGAACGGCCAAAAAGGCAAAAGTTTACTATTTTTTCGCAGGATTCGTAAATATTTCCATATCTTTTTAACTACGAGCTCCTGGAATGTGAAATTTTGGCTTTGGAATTACAACCATGTACTACACCCCCGATAGCATGTTTGTACGTGTATAAATCTTCGGACTTAAAATAAATTTTTCATTTTTCTAACTTTTAGAACTTTTTGAAAGATTCGAAAAAACGTCAAAATCTCCTAAACTAAGAGCTTTCGGGTGACGGAGTTTTGGGAAACGTATCGCAACCCTAAAATAAACTCCTGCTAGCATGCAAGTAAGGTTGAAATAGTCAAAAAAATTAATAATGCTTTTTTTTCAAGTTTTCGAACTTTTGAACAATTTGTAAAATCGTCCGTATCTTCTAAATTAGGAGCTTCTGGAAAGTGAAGTTTTGGCAATGAAATCACAACCCTAAACTTTACCCGCGTTATGATGCACTTAACGGTTTTAAATTTGGAATAGATTTTTGAATTTTTCTCTAGGTTTTTAGAATTATTGAAAAACTCGTAAAAATGTCCATACTTTCTGAGCTACGAGCTTTAATGATGAATTTTGGCATTGAAAGTGCAACCCTAAAACACATCACCGTTTGCATGCAACCACGGTTGCAAACCGTTTTTTAGCTCAAAAGTTAAAAGAAAAAAGAATTCCCTTTCAAACCAAATCAATTGTAGAAAACAAGGAGGTTCTGTTTTGACAGCAAAAATAAGGTATAAGTCTCTATTTTAATTAAAAGACTATCTGAATGTTGTGCCGGACATTATGATCTCTCAAAAAATTATAGTAAAACTTGACAAAATTTTCCAAAAGCAACTTATTTTGTTTTTTTTTTGCTTATTTTAATCATTACAGATTTTGCACTCATTTACTTTTTTTGCTAAATTTACTTATTACCGATTTTGCGTGCAAGGTTTAGATTCGTATATCATTTAGTTGATTCTTGATTACCTCTTTTGATGTTACGCCTATGTTTACATCTTACATTCAAGATGTGAGATGTAAAATCATAACATGAAAAGAATTAGGCAAGAATCAACTGTTCTTTTCTTATGGTTTTCTCTTACAGTTTCGTTTTAAACGCATTTCGTAAATTGAACAAAGTTTCGTCTAGTCGATACTGCTTCTTCAATTTTTCTTTTCCACGTGACTAATCGCATATTATTTTTTTCTGCTGTCTATCTAAATTTGATTTTGAGGTGCAGCCAGAGACATTCATTCGAGATTGATAAATTGCTGTTTTGTAGCTTTTGTCGACATTTTCCCGTTTTTTTTTCGAAAAATGAGATAAAATTTGCGCAATTATTTTTCACATATTGGACGTGATACTTGAATTGCAATCATTTTGATCACATACATATGAAATGTTGATTTCTTTTTAAAAATCTTTCCTTTGAAATTGGATGCAGAGCGCAATTTCATAATTTAATGTATCTATGTAATAAGAAGTAAGAACTGACTTTTGTACAGATATACCCCAACAGATACTGCCGCTTATTTTTTAACAACCTCGTTTTGAACGACTGCTTTACTCAAACATTTTTCATTTTTCTAACTTTTTGAAAGATTCGAAAAAACTAAGAGCTTTCGGGTGACCGAGTTTTGGGAAACGTATCGCAACCCTAAAATAAACTCCTGCTAGCATGCAAGTAAGGTTGAAATAGTCAAAAAAATTAATAATGATTTTTTTTCAAGTTTTCGAACTTTTGAACAATTTGTAAAATCGTCCGTATCTTCTAAATTAGGAGCTTCTGGAAAGTGAAGTTTTGGCAATGAAATCACAACCCTAAACTTTACCCGCGTTATGATGCACTTAAGGGTTTAAAATTTGGAATAGATTTTTGAATTTTTCTCTAGGTTTTTAGAATTATTGAAAAATTCGTAAAAATGTCCATACTTTCTAAGCTACGAGCTTTAATGATGAATTTTGGCATTGAAAGTGCAACCCTAAAACACATCACCGTTTGCATGCAACCACGGTTGCAAACCGTTTTTTAGCTCAAAAGTTAAAAGGAAAAAGAATTCCCTTTCATTTATTTCTTACCGATTTTGCGTGCAAGTTTTAGATTCGTATATCATTTAGTTGATTCTTGATTACCTCTTTTGATGTTACGCCTATGTTTACATCTTACATTCAAGATGTGAGATGTAAAATCATACCATGAAAAGAATTAGGCAAGAATCAACTGTTCTATTTTTATGGTTTTCTGTTACAGTTTCGTTTAAACGCATTTCGTAAATTGAACAAAGATTCGTCTAGTCGATACTGCTTCTTCAATCTTTCTTTTCCACGTGATTAATCATATATATATTTTTTTCTGCAATCTATCTATATTTGATTTTGAGGTGCAGCCAGAGAAGTTCATTCGAGATTGATAAATTGCTGTTTTGAAGCGTTTGTCGACATTTTCCCGTTTTTTTTTCGAGAAATGAGATAAAATTTGCGCAATTATTTTTCACATATCGGACGTGATACTTGAATTGCAATCATTTTAATCACATATATATGAAATGTCAATTTCTAATTTTAGATCTTTCCTTTGAAATTGTACGCAAAGTTTTGATAGATTTAAGCAAAACAACTGTTTGTCTTGCTTAAATCCTTCGTTCTAACTTTGTAATCCTGCATTGTAATTTCGCTTCATTTTGCTGACATTCAAGTTTCTTTTTTTTTGTTTAAATACAGGTAAATCAATTTTCAGAAAATTCACCTTATACGTACAAAAAAAACAACAGAATGCCTATAAGGTGTTATTCATTTATAAATAATTGAAAATAATTTGATGTATTTCGTTATCTAATTCAGTTTTTTAATATGCTATTGTAAACAACTTTTTTCATCCGTTTGTTTTTTCTTTCACAAAACTATTTCATAAACGCCATTCCCTCTCAGCCAAGGACGCTTAACGACAGTTAAACACTAGCCGCATGTAAAGCAGACAACAGATGCTTTCAAATTTTCAATGCTACAGATGGCGATCATAGCAAAATGAGCATTTTTTGCCAGTTAGGTTGGAATAAAGTAGAGTCATAATAACACGCTACGCTCGCTAATGTAAACATTCAGGTTCAATTCACAGTTTCTTCCCATCTTTTTTGTTGAAATAAAGTTTTTTGACGCTAAAAAAACACGAATAAAAAAATTCAGCTCCGCATTGAATTAAAAACATAACCAGCAAACAGTAGGAAAAGTGTCAACGACCTCCAGTAAGACAAAAAATATTCATTTTTTGAAATTTGAAGAACTATCATATCACTTTGAGTTTCAAGATCTTGAATATTTCCAAGATCAACTCTTTTTTCATTAGAGAAAACTCAATGAATAGAAGATTTTTTATTCCACTGGGAAACCCAAAAAAACGCACTTTCAAACCTTAAACATGTTCACGTTTGTGGAAGCCATTCCCGCTGTCTTAACTGGAGAGCGTAATTTGCACTCCTTTAGCAAATGAATTTGAAATCAACTGGAAAAGAAATCGAAACCAAACCGTAAATTATTGCCTTCATCACGTTCATTACCGTGAAATTAATTTGGAGTCATCATTTTTTCGACATTGGGCACAATTGAACAGGAATATGACTATGAGCTGTAAAACAAAGAAAGGGTTAATAATTGATTATCTTTAAAAAATAAAACATAATAATTAATTAGTTTCACTTACAAGGAAAATGATTATAGGGATTGCGAATGGACCAAGTACTTCAGTTGACGCCTGAATCCAGCAAAAGGTGAAAACCCTAAATATATTCAACATACCGTCAGAAAAGTGTCCAGCTAGAAAAATGGTAATCAAACTTTTCCATTTTCGAGATTCATAGAACAAATTACATTTTATTTCTCTTTGGACTTCAAGAATCTCGGATGATTGACCGACCAAAAACCTACCAAACAGAAACTTTTGAAAAATCAGCTAGAAGTCATTTATTGAACAAGCTTATGTCAATTTTTTTTTATAAAACTAACCCAATTAGAGAAAACTGAAGCAGCTGATAACTTTTCATTCTGAAAAAAAAAATTATGCCAAAAAATTCAAAAATCATAATCGCAACTACCTCAAGCATGGTTTGCGCCATTTACACTTTTTTTAGAAGAGCCCAACTTGCTTTCTAGTTATAAACAAGCTGAAGTTGACTTGAAAAACAATCAAAAGTCAAGTTCCTCAAGTGAAACAAAACAAGACTAACCGGTTCTGCGCAAGTAGCACAGAATGGTCGGACCACCATAATCAATTAAAAAATTGTTTCGATTTATCCGAATTGATGTTCCATTTAGCTAAATTTGGAGACTAATGAAACTCTCTTAAAAATGATAATTTCAGTCCAACTTATCTCGACACAGAGAAAACTGGCCTGAAACTTCACTGAAGGAAAAAGGCTATAAAAATAATTTTAGAGTACTGGATCAAATATTACTTACTTGAGGCGTTCAATTGCTGTGAAAGACGACGCGACTCCAAATACGACAATAGTGAACACAATGCTGAACACTGAAAACAAATAAAAGCTTATGAGACAACTTCAGGTCAGTGAGAAAACCTTTTCACATAATGATTACGATTTTTACGATGATTCGGACTAAAATTATTCGGCATCAACTTTCCACACAGGTGGAGCGGAGCTTCACATTACTTGCATCTTGACAAAAAATCCAAAATCAAAATGTGAGAAACTTTCTTACATTGGACAATAAAAACTCCGATGCAATAGGAGACGTGCAAGCATAAATCTATCAGACCACCAGAGTAAAATATCAAAAAAGCAAGGTATTTTTTCTAAAAAACATTTTCTTGGAAAGGTTTGAACACAGGCAAAGCTGCAGCTTTGCAAACACGAGCGAAAGCGGCAAATATCCAGGAGCTTTAAAATGAAGAAACCTCAAATTTTACTTGTAACCTAGGGCAGAGCCCAGAATATTCCGACTACCTGTTAATCCATCTCGAACGAATAGATTTTGGGGAAAATATTCAAAACTATCAATTTTGGAAAATTTCAAAGATCGAGTGTGAAAAATTGAGTCGTACGAAACTATTACCACCGATAAGCTAGCCTCAATTCAATTCGGAACGATTTTGTTTTGCCAGATAACTCGCCATGCATAAATAATTCGTGTTACGATTTCAGGATATGAATAAAATCTACGAAGCGCGCATAAATTAGTCCAGAGCATTGCCAAATTGGCAATTTTAAAACTCTGAGGTAAAAAATCTTCTTAAATTTGATCTCAGGGGTCGACATCTTCAATTGGGCATATTTTTTTTGCTACAAAATAGATCGCCGAAAATTGCCTAAATAAAAAATCACACCAAGCATAAATATTCCGTTTTCTTCCTAAGTCGAAACAATAACATAAATGCAACCACACTTACTTTGAATGTAATAAATTATAAAGTATTAAACCAAATTGCGTATGAATTGAGCTTTTTAAAAATCTGGCGAAGTAATTTGAGTAGGAAACATTCTGACATGGGATTTAAGTTATTTTGCTGTTGTAAGAAAAAAATAGTTTTTTTTTCCGGTTCAATCGATGAATTAAAAAATCATTATTAACTGTGTTAGCTTATTACTGATCAAATGTAAAAGCACTTGGGATTATAATGCGAATGTAGCCTACCGATTCGAAAGAGCCACCAAAAATAGCACATTTTTGCGAGCTAGGTTGGAAAAAAAAGTTGCATCGCACTATCACTCAAGTAAACACATGGTCAACAACATAAAAAGATAGTTTTATTGAAAAAAAAAAACGGCTTATTGAACCATATAAAAACACCCATTTAAATATGTGAACAAAGCCGACAAAAATTTGACCAAAAGGTATATTCGAAAATTTCAGAATAAGTCATTAAGCAATATTTAAAAAAAGTCGATAAGAAAACCCGGCAAATACTGAAGAAAATAATTTTAGTCCACGCCATAGAAAAAGTCTTGATATTTTTACTACCATCAAAAGAAAGTGTATTGTGCATAATTTATATAACGCTTGCTAATTCCATGCGTAAATAATGAGACACCGCCAAATTAACAGTTCAATCGAATATAAGCTGGCAATAATTTTAACCAAAAAGCAAAGAGCCAAAAAAAAATCATTCCATTTTTCTTGGACAGAAAACAACTCAGTATATAAATATCCATTAGAGCCGACTTAATTATAAAAAAGTACAAAAATATACACAAAAAAGTTATCGCAAGAGTATAAACTATCAGGAAAAAAATTCAAAAAAGCGAGTTACTTTGCAAAACAATTCCGGTTGCGATTCGAATCACAAACCTGGATCGAACAAAGCAGAAAATTTAACCTCATATCAACTGACAATTGTACATTCGGCTTTTAACCAAGTTGATGAAAAAAGTGTCATTCAAAAAGTTTCAAAAAAGACGGTAACCGTGTTTAAAATTGAATCAGCTGCTTTAACAGTAACGTTAAAAAGATAACTGTAACGGCGGACTTGAAAAATTGGCAATTTAAGACAGAGACGACGCTGCACTTCGGTAAAACAAGCCGCTACTTCGATTAAAATGGCAGACCGGAGCTTTGAAATAGACAAAATAAGTCAAGCAAGCATTTGAAAAAGTTCGCTCTACGGGATTCGACCCATCGACTAGTTGGAGCCTAATGTCTTAATAGACAATTAAAGAAAGCTTTTATTGCAAAAAGCACAAAATCAACATCCAAAACTAGTTTTGTTTTCTAGTACATTTAAGTTTTTTTAAAAAACCTTAAGGTCCAAATATAAGTAAATTTTCATACAATAGTCACTCGGTCGCTTTTTGCTCGAAAATAGACGAAAACTCAAAAAATGCATTTTGATTTTTCTCGACACTGGAAAATTTGTCGGAAATGATTTAATGTCGTTCAAATCATGACTGAAAGGGCTTTAATATGATATATCTCTCAACCCAGACTGGTGATTATTTGTGGTACCTGATTTTGCGAGAAAAAGAAGAAAATAAATCACCCGAATACAAAGTTCCTCCCCACATTTTTACTCTGCCGATCTTCAGTGAGCATTAGTGTTATAGTAATATTCTTTTTTCTAATCTAGGTCGCAAATATTGGTGCCACTTTACGGCTTTTGGATAGCAAACTTACTAATAGGGAGTGCCAATTTGAGCATTATGGAGTGTGTATTGGAGATGAGGTCCAGAATCGGTGCGAAGAGAATGAGGAACCAGCTAGATGAGAGGAAGAAGTTCTCGACTGTGAAGCCAACAGATACATCCAGCTAAACATACAAATAGATACTTTCATTACCATCTGCTCACTACAAAGATTCTAGAATTTTGACGCTGAATGCGAAGTTGCACTTCAAGCAAGCAAGCAGCAAAAACGGTATAAAAACCCCAAAAATCATCAAAAACAATAACAAGCCAGAGAAAGAACATAGTCAACAGTCAGCAATCAAATGTCAACAAAATCAAGGAGACTAAAAAAGATACACTTCCTTTTTTTTTTTTAGAAAACTCTGAATTTCAAAAAATATGTTGAAAACTCTGAATTTCTAATAATTTCAGAGTGAGGTTTTCTAATAAAACCAGCCCAAATTTAGAAAACTTGATCAACAGAATAATTCTTTATTCCGCTGTCTGAAAAGTATAATTCCTTTCGAAACTAGAATCAATCATACTTTTTCGCGCCATTTGTAAATCTAATAAATTAGAATTGAATTATAAATGAAATCAAATATCATACCACTACAAGTTGAGCATAAAAGACTATCTAAAAAAATCACTACGACCTTCACTACAATCAATGACAGCTAATACATGAAAAATCTGCTATATACCTACGACAATGGCAAATCAACAGCAATATCTACTGCATCATAGACAAACTTGAGCTACTTTACTAGACCCCTTAGCTGCGCATATCATATAAAAAAAATAGCCAACAGAGTTGGAAAAGAGTCAAATGAACTCAAATGTTTATTAATGAACTCAAATAAACAAAAAAATACTGACTTTATTTTTGTTTGAAAAACTAAACTTTCGATTTAAAAATAGATAAAACTAGCCCAATTTGAGAAAACTCGATCAGTAGAAAAACTTTATATTTCACTGGGAAACCTGATAATAAAATTCCATTTTCTGGATGGGAAAGCCACGTCTCACCGAATAGACGCGGGACAGATCCAAGTGCCATCCACTCCACTAAAGGAGCTGCCAAGAAAACAGATAAATATTGGTGTCGGTGCCTGTACCGTGGTTTTTGACAACTGATCAGAAAAAAAACAGCAACCCTGCTCGGGATCAAGGGACCTGCTGGAACACAAAATATAATTAGGGATTGAATCAAACCCAGGACCAAGATGTGAAATCAACATTTGTCTCAAATCCATCCTTACGACCAATCAAACATATGGTGCCCTTATGGGAGATGGATTCACTTGAAAAGATCGGGACTAAAACGTGTTAAACAAGGGAATGCGACACACGAGGAATTGAACTAGCAAACATGTCTAAAAGTACCTATTAGAAATGACATCTTTAACAAACTGGCAGGAACCACATGGGGTTGCGATTAGGATACCCTGGATCTCATATACAAGACAATAAGCCGTAGCGTTCTTTGCTATGCCGCACCCATCTGGTCTCCTAGCTTAAGTGATAATAGGTGGAAAGAGCTGCAAACAAAACAAAACAGGGCATTAGCGACTATAACTGGGCGTATAATGATGTCTCCGATTGATCATTTACACACCGATTGTTCATTGAGACATCGACTGATCATTTACACACAAATATTACCTGTTAGAACGCACAGCGAAATGCTAGCGAAACAAATTTCACTGAAATGTCATCTGTCAAACTTCACTGAGAAGTCATCTGTCATACAGGGTTGACAACCACATCGCCAGCTCCGTACTGAGCAAGCGCATAAACTAACCAACCTTACACCATCAACATCACAATGACATTTCCTGTGTTTTTGAACCATAACGGTGATGTGACCATCAAACAGTTTAGGCAGGGAATAAAAAAATCACACCAATAGATAAACTTATTACCCAAAATGAACAAGCAAATACCAAGAGACAAGCCGTCGAAAACAAGCTTAAAAGAAAAACAGCTGCAGAGAGCAACAAGAAGCAGGCTATCGCAGCGCCGAAGCGGTTACTCTGATCTGCTTATTAATTAATTCCAGAAATAAATCTAAAATAAGAAAAAGAACGCGGAATGCAAACAAAGCCCATATGGCAGCCACCACATGTTTAATTGTCCTAACAGGCTCATTTACTTAACAATAGGAAGCACGTGGAATGAACATTGTAATAAGGTAGCACAATTTCTCAACTCCCTACATAAAGAGAGCGAAATCCCTTAAGACAGGGTGACCACTTTTTTGAGAGAAAAATAGTGACTATGACAATTTTTTTTATTTTTTGTTGACCTTTTTTTCAGGCCGGCCAAATTATTTTTTCAAGCTCTGCCAAAGCACTAAAAAGTCCCTGTTTTAGCCAAAAAATTTATGTGTTGTAGGCATAATTTTGAATAAACAGGCTGAAAAAGTCGGTTTTAGGCACTTTTTGAAAAATTTTAGGGTCTGTCAACAAAAATAGTGTACTTGTAAATAGTGACCAATTAGTGACCAATAGTGACTGGTCACTAAAATAGTGACCAAGTGGTCACCCTGCCGTAAGAAATCGCAGCAAAATTAACCGACGCACATTAGACGGAAAGTAGCCATTTCAAACAGGGAAGAAAACTACGCTCAGTCTCTGAAACAGGGTTTTGAGTAGTCGCCACACATGACTTTTTGCTTCATCGCCGTCAATGGTGATGAAGAACTTGTGGTATTTAATTCATCAGCCTGAATATACCCCTAGGACCCACAGAACTGGAGATTTGCACAGTATTTACCTAGCAAACACTGGAGCACTTTCAAAACAATCTTATCCTGCAGATAAATACTGAGATGAGACGAAATGAAGTAACCAAGAACGGTGAAATCCCGCATGCGCGAAGGAACGAAAGCGCAAAAACAGAAATCAGCCAATCAGATTTCAGTAATCTAAAATTTGGAAAGAAAGTAAACATTTCCAGGGACTGAATGATTATATTGGCCGAATGTAAAACGGCAGAAATATGCAAGGTTTTCAAATTTTCACTGACCGCCGGCGAAATGGAACGAATTCAATATTTCAAGGGTTTCGTTATAAAAGACGGAAAATATTTAACTCATTTTAATTGAATGGCAATTGAATCTTTTTAAAAAATGACTTTCGGCTAATTTTGTTTTCGGTCCGTCGCTTACAAGTTTTTTCGCCCATTCGTTCCTTCGCGCATGAAAATAGCCCCCACCATGAACACCAGAAACAAAACCAAGCACAAATAATCATTCTGGACCAGTCGTGACGGCCACCAGTGCATGGTTAGAACATGGTTTAAACGGGGAAAAATGCTCAAACGTCAAAACGCGAATAATCGAATTTGCCTTAAAAAAAACAATATCATCACGACCTATAAAAGAGTCTTCACTGCGTTCATTGACAGTGAAAACTTTTACGCAACCTAAGTGTCTTGACTTCGTTTTTGGTAAGAAACAAATAACCTGGTCTTTTCTGACGGCGCACGAGCACATCAGAATGGCCACACTAGCCGAGGCAGCCATGAACGCACTGAGTGGTCCATACAGCACAAACAGGTATCTGTACTGTTCAGATCCCCTGTCAACTTCACATTTATCCGCATCAACTTCACCAACGACATTGACGCCATTATCGTTCATCATACACTCTGTCTTATCTACAAGACTGACTGAATCTGTTCCCGCGTGGTGCTCCGCAGATTTTAGCTTGGATTGTCTTTTGTTTGCTATGAAAGACAATTTCTGAGGATTGTTGTTGACTCTCGTAGTCGATTGAGACCAAAAAAGACTGCAACTTTTCTTCAGTTTTCCATACGCGCTGAAATATACATTGACCATATACAGTTTAACTTCGAAATATGAAACTACATTGCCAAAAGAATTCTGTAGCATAGTTAATTTATATTATCATGAGTTTCTGTTGACCTTATAGACATAGGTCAGATAAAAGAACTGTTTCGTGGGTTTAGAGAGACGTTAGATGGAAGGACAGAGACAATTCCAGTAGCATTTCTGTTATTCGACTATTTTCACAGCTTAAACTGACCTGTTTGCGAGGATGGTGACTGGTATGAGGTAGACTAGGAATGCATGGAGGGCCATGCCAGCATAGAACATGATCCACTGCAGATCCAACTCTTCAGCTTCAAGTGTACCTGCAAACAGGGGCACGCAAAAATATACGGTGATATTATGGAACCTTTCTCTAAATTATTCAAGTTTTTTCATAATGGAATTAGTTCAATCCACAAAATGGTACAAATCACTAAATTGTTGCCTAGAAAGTTTCCCGGGAAAAATTTCTTTTTCGAGCGGAGCTTGCTCGAGAATAACGTCATCGATTTAGCACTTAATTTCAGGTAACCCAGAACCTAAATTTCAAGCTCCATTTTCGCATCATTTTCACTTTTCGATATTTGGAGAAGGTGATTCGATTTTAGCAAAAGAACTTGAAGTGAATTTCAAAACAAATCAAAAGGCTTGCACACGACACCTACTAGAGCGAAAATAAGACACAAAAACTCAAAAAATAAAAGTATGCTTTTTTAGTTAACCGTTGCGTGACGTCGTTTCCTTTGAGTCTGTCACCTCTGTCACGCCACCACTCTGAAACACAGACAATCTTTTTAGTTCACTAGCAAAGACTGGAATGCAAAGGGAGAAGAGAAAATCCACCCACCAATATTACCGCAAACAGACAGTTATGCTCTCGGGTAACGGAAAAATAATCCGTTCTCACAATTATATAGTGTTAATTTAGCATTTATTAGATTAGAAACATCTTTCCAAAGCTCGTTCAATTATAGAAAACAGAGACGTAGCGGAACTTCGCTCTAGTTGCAATACGACAGACATAGCATTGCGAAATAGCAGACAAAGATGAAACGAAAGCTAATAAGTAAAAAAAAAACAATATTTTGTCCCGAACGATGTTCAATTTGAGGAAAACGCGTCCGACAGTAAGCGTACCGGCGTTAAACAACTTATCAGAAACATTAACTGAGCGGCAACTAAGCCGCCCTAATTTGGGTAAATCACCGTTGAGTCGAAAAAAAATTATGAAAAATTTCGGGGTGCGAAGATCTGATGTTTGAGGTACAAAGATCTGAAAATATATGACTTTTTTCATCTGACTTGTTTCATTTTATATTCCGTTCTGAAAATATGAGACTTATTTCAATTTATGCTTCTGGCGGTGGATTTTATGTCATAGAACGCGAAAATGTTTAAAATCTGGTAAATTAACAAAAAAAAAAATATAGCCAACAGGCAGTTGGAAAAAGCCAGAAAACCTCAACTTTCCAAGTTCAAAGTAGAAAGTATATGGCCTTAAAGCTCTTTGACATTTCAGAAAAAAATTTTTGATTGACACTTGATAAAAACTAGCCCAATTTGAGAAAACTGGATCAATAGGTCAATTTTTTCCGCTGGAAAATGATAAAAATTCAGTTCCATTTTCTAAACAAGAGGTCGATGCTGTTCTTTTGCTGTTCGAAAGTGGAGTGTGCCTTCCTTTCAACAAAGGAAAGGAACTGAACTTAAAACGACAAAACAGATAAGCCGACAATAATGAGAGAAGCGATAGATCGACAATCTTTTTTAAAATTTTCACTTTGAAAAAACAGGTCTGGCCCGGATTCGAACCTAAGATCTTTTCCGTCCTAGGCATTATCGTTAGCTCTGGCCCAGTATCGCAGATGCCAAAATCTGTGTTTATTATGAACCAAGCAATCAAGTGATTCTAATAAACTAGTTGTGAACCAGAAAAAGTCTACATTACGAATTGATAACACTTGCTAACCGCAAGCGTAATTATCTTCACTACAAAGGATATGAGAAATACAGATTTCTACTCAAGAAAAATCGAAAAAAACTTGCAAAAAACGTTACCTGTGAGAAAAATAATGACAAAAAATGAAAGTGGGTCGGCAAAATTTATTACAGCTTAATAAAATAAGTTGTCAAAACTAAATCGATTTTGAAAAATTGCCCAGATACTAAAAGAAAAAAACAATTGGAAAACAAGCTGACATAATTCAAAAACAAAAATAGATGGCCTTAAAACTCTTCACAATTTCTGATTGACAATTTTTTGTTTAAAAAAACCCAATTTGAGAAAACTGGGTCAATAGGTAAAGTTTTTATTTCGCTGAGAAATCTTATCATTAAATTCCATTTTCGAAATTAGAAGTCGATCACGTTTTTCGCTACCTCTACACTTTTGCTGTTCGGTAGAGGAGTTTGCCTTCCTTTCAACGAAGAAAATGGACTCAACTTGAAAAGGAACCAAAAATCAAACCGCGAAAAACTTAATTTGAGCGTGAACAAATTTTGGTACCTTTCCTGAAAAAAAAACGAAACACAAAAATCATCGCGACCTATATAAGAGTCTGAACTACGTTGATCGAGTCATAATAAGTAAAGTTTTTCAAGAAAGCTTTAAATAATTCAAAAAAGCACTGCTTTATCAAGAGTACTCTGTAATAGCAACCAGCAACTTCATTAAACTTTTCAGAAAATGAGAAAGTCTTGTTGATTTATTATGGATCATTCAGTAAATTCTGTTGCACAAATTGTAAATCTAAAAAAAACGCTGGTTATGCCATATAGCGCTTGGTAACCGGAAGCGCAATAATCGATTGAAACTTTGGCAACCTTAACATACCAATTCACATCGTGTTAACAGGCAAAATCGGTTAACATTGCAGAAAATTCAACAAGAGAAAATGTAGCAAAAGAAAACACGTCACACTAAAAAAATTGAAGCCCTGAATAATCTGAGAAAAATCTGAAGTTCCGTTAAAATTTTGCGACCACAATCTCAGGGATATACTTTCAAAATGGGGCCTAGAAAATTAGACGAAAAGCAAATAGACATGACTTAAAAAAACGAATTTAGACGTCGATGCAAAATTACAAATATGGGAAATTAGATGTAATTTTATTGTTCCTGTCTGAAATTTCTTTACTGACTACAATTAATTTTCGTTCGAGCTTTCTAAAATGCAAACCAACTTTTCACATGCCGCAATTTTCACATGCCGCAATTGTATAATTTATGCATTTCAAAAATGTTTTATAATAATGAGATTAACGTTTTATAAATCAATTGTGATAAATATTTTAGGCTCTTTTTCCTTTTCCACCACCTCACTCAAACATGAATTTTATGGTCTAATGAGCGGTCTTACAAGGTTAATTATGGAGACCAAATATGTTTGTAATGGCCTAATTAGTCTAGCCAATTTTCACGACAATTGGACAAAAAGAACAGTAACTTCAAATATAAAAGTTTGCAGGTGGGGGGGGGCAAGGAAAAAGAGCCATATTTTGATATGCAATAGGATCATTTACTTTTTTTAAATTGTATAACTTGTTTTAAGCAATAAGTTTGTTAGCCCTTTGCTTTCCATCTAAAATGCTAGTTTTGCGAAAACAATTTAACGTCAAAGTACGTTCAAAATAGATGCAGTTTTTGCAATGTATGAACAGCGCTAACGCCAGGAAAAATAGCGGTTTGTTTATCATACTTCATAATATTATTGCTATTTAGAGTTGAAATGATTGACTTCATTTGAGCAAGTGCGGTTTTGAATTGTGGACGTCTCCTCTAATTGTCTTAATTCATGAATTATCTAATGAGCTATCTCTCCCTGCCACCTATTGCAAAAAGCGTTTTTAAATCGGGCGGCTCTCTTTCGACCAAATACGATTTACTACGCACTAGTTCATGTTGATGGAAAAGGCCACACAATCATTTACAGTCCCCGTAAGACTTTACTAATTTGGCTCCTAGATTTTCTTCTGAAACGGACTGGTATGTCAAAACATGTTCTCAAGGAAACGTTTGGTTGAACAGATTAATTGAGCCCACATGGAAATCTACTTAAACTCACTTACAATTCTTTCTTGAAAGAGAACTAAGGGCTTGTTTTACATATTAGTTCGACGCTCGATTCCAAAGCAAATACAAGACAACAAAAAGACTAAGAGCAATTAAGAAACGCAAACCCAAAGCAGTAAACCAACAACAAAAGTCATGTTTCTTCTAGAACTAATATCTATAAATTTTGCCAAACATGTGAATTTATCTTTAAGCTTTTTAGAGTGTTCCTTAACTATGATATCGTTTAAAATTATAAACATTTGACTGAAAACAAGAAAACCAAAAGATGATCCAAAAAATCAATGTAATGGATCTGCTAAGATATTTCACTAAATCCAATCAATTTCGAGATTCCTTTCAACATACAGCTCAAGCGAATGGCATCGCGAATTTTTGGCAATTCTTGTTGAGATGTTAGTTCTCAGAAAAATTTTCCCCGAAAATTTACCTGGTTTGTGCTGTTTGAAAGAGGCTGAGTAGTCGAGGCCGGAGCTGCAGTCAAGTTAGAAGTTGTCGTTGAAGGTGCTATTGTTGACGTCGGCTTTGCCACTTTCACGACAGTGAAGAACAAATCATTCGCCACTGGCTCGCAAAAACATTTCGTTCGATAAGAGTTGAGCCATTCTGATTTGCATTTGAGTGGCTTTCTCATTTCGAAGTCTAGTGACTTCAAACTGCTCGAAGGCCACATTATACATTCTGACATGAAGTTTGAGTCTTCTAATACTTCCTACAAAAAATACATATTGAGCGATTCAATCTGAACGAAAGAATGGCATGGATCAACCATACTATTACCAACCCCATCCCAAGTTGATATAGAGGGGAGAATATATGGAAAAATTATTGAGGATAGAAACTAGACCTTTGAAATAATTGTAGAAGCTAGTCGAGCTCTACTTTTAAAATAGTGCTTATGAAACTTCCAACATTTTATTGGTCAGTTATCTTCAGTCTGAGTACATCCAAACAGCTTTTGTCAACATGTTCGACGTAAACGAATAACACTCAGTAAAAACGATTATCAGACAACAAACAATCGCTAAATTATTGAGGATGGATCCAAATAAAAAAACTATTCTACTCTACTTTCAAAAAAGAGCTTTAAAAACGTCCAACATTTTATGGGTCGTTTATCTTCACTCTGAGTACACCCAGACAGCTTTTGTCGACCTGTACATTTGAATCAAAAGTAGAAGCTAATCGAGCTCAGCTTTTAAAATATAGTATTAAAAATTTCCAACATTTTATTGGTCGGTATATTCAGTCTGAGTACACCCAAACAGCTTTTGTCGACCTGTTCAACACATATGAAAAACACAAGGCAAAAAAAAACTATTAACAGAATCAGGGTTGGCATGTTATTTAACATTGTTATTTAACATTGAATTTAACTTACAGTGTTATTTATAATTTCTAACAGTGATGTTAGCTATTTCTCAGAAATATGAGTATTTCTTAGAAAAACATAACGCAACTATTCTGCATTTCAGATTCAAATTTGCTAGCGTTAACGAAAGCTGCCATGGGAAGAAGAAAGAGTGATACATGGTGTCATTACAAAGAGGTGAAAGTGGACGGGGTCGTGAGAGGAAAATGCGATGCTTGTTCCGAAACGATTGTAGCGAATCCCGAACGGATGAAAAAACATTGGGAGACCTGCAAATCAACTACCAGCGCAGATTTTATCGCCCGAAGTCCCTCTGAAACACCGAAGTGCCTCGAAAAGTCATGAAGCAGACGACTTTGGCAATGACATCTTCTGACAAAACACACGATATTGAACTTCAAATTGGCCGTTACTTCATTGCGTCGAACACGTCGTTCCTACAAGCGGAGAACAAAGAGTTTGGGAAATTACTTCAGCAACTGAAATCTGGAGTGAAAATACCCAACAGAAGGAGGCTCGCGGGTCCGATTGTTGACGAAGTTTATATGGAGGAGAAAGAAAAAGCTAAAGTGCAGCTTGCAAACTGCAACGCTACCCTAGCACTAGATGGATGGTCATCGCTGGCAAACGACCCAGTGGTTGGTGTGTCTATCACAACATCTGTAGGGACCTTCCTAGTCAATACGGTTGACACCTCAAGTGAAAGTCACACTTCGACGTATTTAGTTGAGTTACTGAAAATGGAGAAAGAAAAGTGTGAAACTGAATGGGGTGTAAAAATCAAATCGGTTGTCACTGACAGCGCGAGTAACATGAAAAGCACGAGGGAGGCCGTTTCCGACCCTGAAAACTTTTTTCATGCTTATTGATGTCAAGCGCATGCTATGAACCTTGTGGCGAAAGACATATTGTTAACAGCCCAACCAGTTATCAAAAAGGTGGTGGCCGTGTTGAAACAGCTGAGAAACTGCCACGCAGAGTCGGCCCTGCTGAAAACCACAAAAATTCCAATGCCACCTCTTCCTGTTGATACGCGTTGGAACTCTGTGGCGGACTCGCTCGATTATTTCACAACTTATTGGTCCAGAATTACAAAAATCTTTGAAAAAACGCTCAAGCCTCATGGCACACAGTGCAGGTATATGGAAGAAGCTCTGTTTTTTCAAAAAAAAGAGATTTAAAAACGTCCAACATTTCATTGGTCGGTTATCTTCAGTCTGAGTACAACCAAACAGCTTTTGTCGACCTGTTCAACGATTAACCGAACATTAATAAACACACAACTTTTGAGGATAAAAATTAGACCTTAGAAATTTTTGAAAAACAGTTTCAAATAAAATGTAGAAGCTAGTCGAGCTCAACTTTTAAAATAGAGCAGTTAAAACTTCCAACATTTTATTGGTCGGTTATCTTCAGTCTGAGTACACCCAAACAGCTTTTTTCGACCGGTTCAAGATAAATGAAAAACACTAGGCAAAAAAAAAAACAATTTAAAGAAAACAAATAATCACACAATTATTGAGGATAGAATTTAAACCTTAAAAAATACTGAAAAACAATTTCAAATCAGATGTAGAAGCTAGTCAAGCTCAGTTTAGAAAATAGAGCATTGAAAACTTCCAAATTTTCTTGATCGCTTATCTTCACTCTGAGTACACCCAAACAGCTTCTGTCGACCTGTTCGACATTAATGATTACCACTAGGCAAAAAAACTATTATAAAAAACGAATTATCACACAATTAATGAGGATGGAAATTAGATCTTAGAAATTAATGAAAAACAGTTTCAAATCAAATGTAGAAGCTAGTCGAGCTCAGCTTTTAAAATAGAGACTTAAAAACTTCCATTATTTTATTGGTCGGTTATCTTTAGTCTGATTACACCCAAACAGCTTTTGTCGACCTGTTCAACATAAATGAAAAACACTAGTAAAAAAAACGATTCACAGAATATAAATAGTCACTCAAGTATTGAGGATGGAATTTAGACCGTAGAAATTACTGAAAACCAATTTTAAATCAGATGTAGAAACTAGTCGGGCTCAGTTTATAAAACAGAGCATTAAAAACTTCCAACATTTCATTGGCCGGTTATCTTCAGTCTGAGTACACCCATACAGCTTTTGTCGACCTGTTCGACATTAATGAGTACCACTAGGCAAAAAACGATTATCAGAAAACAAATAATCACACATTTAATGAGAATGGAAATCAGATCTTAGAAATTATTGAAAAACAGTTTCAAATCAAATGTAGAAGCAAGTCGAGCTCAGCTTTTAAAATAGAGCATTAAAAACCTCCAACATTTTATTGGTCGGTTATCTTCAGTCTGAGTACACCCAAAGAGCTTTTTGTCGACCTGTTCGACATTAATGAGTACCACTAGGCAAAAACGATTATCAGAAAAGAAATAATCGCACAATTAATGAATTTGGAAATTAGATATTAGAAATTACTGAAAAACAGTTTCAAATCAAATGTAGAAGCTAGTCGAGCTCAGCTTTTATAATAGAGCATTAAAAACTTCCAATATTTTATTGGTCGGTTATCTTCAGTCTGAGTACACGCAAACAGCTTTTGTCGACCTGTTCAACAAATAAAAAACACTAGACAAAAAAAAACATTTAAAAGAAAACAAATAATCACACAATTATTGAGGATAAAACTTAGATCATAGAAATTACTGAAAAACAATTTAAAATCAGATGTAGAAGCTAGTGGAGCTCAGCTTATAAAATCGAGCACTAAACTCTTCCATATTTTCTTGGTCGGTTATTTTCAGTCTGAGTACACCCAAACAGCTTTTGTCGACCTGTTCGACATTAATAAGTACCACTAGGCAAAAAAAAACATTTTCAGGAAACAAAAAATCGCACAATTAATGAGGATGGAAATTAGATCTTAGAAATTTTTGAAAAACAGTTTCAAATCAAATGTATAAGCTAAGCGAGCTCAGCTTTTAAAATAGAGCATTAGAAACTTCAATTATTTTATTGGTCGGTTATCTTCAGTCTGAGTACACCCAAACAGCTTTTGTCGACCTGTTCGACATTAATGAGTACCACAAGGCAAAAAAAATCGATTATCAGAAAACAAATAACCGCACAATTAATGAGGATGGAAATTAGATCTTATAAATTATTGAAAAACAGTTTCAAATCAAATGTAGAAGCAAGTCGAGCTCAGCTTTTAAAATAGAGCATTAAAAACTTCCAACACTTTATTGGTCGGTTATCTTCAGTCTGCATACACCCAAACAGCTTTAGTCGACCTGTTCAACATAAACAAAAAAACACTAGGACTAGGGAAAAAAAACAATTAAAAGAACACAAATAATCACACAATTAATGAGGATGGAAATAAGATCTTAGAAATTATTGAAAAACAGTTTAAAATCAAATGTAGAAGCTAGTCGAGCTCAGCTTTTAAAATAGAGCATTAAAAACTTCCAACATTTTATTGGTCGGTTATCTTCAGTCTGAGTACAACCAAACAGCTTTTGTCGACCTGTTCAACATAAATAAAAAAACACTAGACAAAAAAAACAATTAAAAGAAAACAAATAATCACACAATTATTGAGGATAGAATTCAGACCTTAGAAAATACTGAAAAACAATTTCAAATCAGATGTAGAAGCTAGTCGAGCTCAGCTTATAAAAAAGAGCATTAAAAACTTCCATATTTTCTTGGTCGGTTATCTTCAGTCCGCGTACACCCAAACAGCTTTTGTAGACATGTTCGACATTAATGAGTACCACAAGGCAAAAAAACGATTATCAGAAAGCAAATAACCGCACAATTAATGAGGATTGAAATTAGATCTTACAAATTATTGAAAAACAGTTTCAAATCAAATGTAGAAGCTAGTCGAGCTCAGCTTTTAAAATAGAGCATTAAGAAATTCTAACATTTTATTGGTCGATTATCTTCAGTCTGAGTACACCCAAACAGCTTTTGTCGACCTGTTCAACAAAAATAAAAAACACTAGGGTAAAAACAATTGAAAGAACACAAATAATCACACAATTAATGAGGATGGAAATAAGATCTTAGAAATTATTGAAAAACAGTTTAAAAACAAATGAAGAAGCTAGTCAAGCTCAGCTTTTAAAATAGAGCATTAAAAACTTCCAACATTTTATTGGTCGGTTATCTTCAGTCTCAGTACACCCAAACAGCTTTTGTCGACCTGTTCAACATAAATAAAAAAACACTAGGCAAAGAAACAATTATCAGAAAGCAAATAATCGCACAATTATGAGGATGGAAATTAGATCTTCGAAATTACTAAAAAACGGTTTCAAATCAAATGTAGAAGCTAGTCGAGCTCAGCTTTT